ATTGATTGATTGATTGATTGATTGATTGATTGATTGATTGATTGATTCATTTATTGTAATTGTACAGAGCGCAATGAAATTACAGTTAAAAACACCCAATCAAGAGACACACACACAACAAACATKGGGGAACAGGTGAACACCAGCAGGGGTCGCGCTACCTTTAAAAATAAAAACGAAAATACCACACAAGGATAGATGAGGTTTTTAAAAACATATATTCTTTGGATATATAATATACAGTATAACTAGGGAGAGGAATGAACAGGACTGAAGTTACCATATTAAGCTAACTGCTATAACAGAGTATTGGGGCCACACAACAAGATTAGTATTTTTTTTATTACGAGAATAAAGTCATAATCTTATGATATCAAAGTCATAATTATACAAGAATAAAGTCATAATATTATGAATATAAAGTCATATTATTACCAGATTATAGTCACAGTACAAGAACCCATACACGAAAAAGACTCTGTGGAACCAATCCATGTGTGAAAATGATGTCTCGTGCTCCCTGAACCACTCTTTCACAATTCTAGTCCCGTGAATCCTGGTGCCATTAGGGGAGAAACAATCCATTGATGGTATAACCTGGTCATTCAGTATATTCAGGTAGTCACCTGACCTCATTCTTTGAGCACAAACTGTTGCTGAACCTAGACCTGACCAACTGCAGCAACCCCACATCATAGACCTTAGTTAAATCCAGGTGTGCAGTTGTTTTAGGCTGGGCTGTGTATTTTGGCAAAGAATCAAAACAAACCAACAACCAAGACTTTATTCATTTTCCTCTGTGTCTGGTCTCTCCCCAGGGGCAAGACATCACATCGATTGGGTAGATCTTTTCTACACATTGGCCAGATCCATGTACAACAGTCTAATTTAATGAGAAAACACATATGCTGGTTTGTTAACTGATCTTGTCTCTTTTTAAGTACACTCTGTTTGCAATGACCTGTGACAGGGTTCATTATGGACAGAGTGCATATCAGTTAATTACTGTTTTATTCATAGCACACTAAGACATGTAATAACACATTTTGATTATCCAACATAGTTTTGATCTCTGAATAAAATCAAGAATGAGTGGTGCATTTAAGAAGTGTTAAACAGAATAGTCTTTTTTTTCAATTGCAATAAGTCACTGTGTTTTGTTATTTTAAAGCTGACTAATCTGCTAAAAAAACAGAAAAGAAAAAAGAAAAGCATAGTTTCACTGATATTGTCTTCCTCCAGATTTTATGACTTCTGTCTGATCAGACCTGAGCTCACCTGTCCTGCATGTGCACTCAGAACAGAGCTCAGCAGACTTCAGAGTTTATTTACCGATTCATGCTTCCTTTGTCTTCTATTTGTTTTTACCAAAAACAAACTCAAACGGCAGTCATTAGACTAACTCAGTCAAAAACAGAAACTGCTGTTGTGCTGTTGGAAGTGCCGATCTGTCTCCCTCATCTGACAGCGTGCAAACCAAAGACACATACTGCTTTCACCAACATCTTTTATTTTCACACACGCCAGGCTTGGTGCACCCTGCCCAGGACCAAACAGAAGCCTGCACTGTTGGCCTGCGAGCCACTCCACTTCAGCTGCTGGCACTTTGGATCAAAGAGCTCTGGAGGAGGAGGGGGAGGTGCTGGTACTCGTACATTTCCCACCCTCAGTATTTCCAAACAGGTCCTGTGATGTGTGCTCTTTTGGGAACTATTCATCTCTTGCTGGTGAGGCTCAGGCTCGGTACAGACGGACTGAGACCTTGAACCCAACTCTAATAAAATGTTCTGCGGATATCTATGGTGTCCAGGGTCTTTGGTTCATGTCTGAACTGAGAGTCTGGGATAAAGAACCAACATTTCCCATTCTACCAGAGGCTTGTTGAAATCAGCACAGGTATGTGGAATTAAAAACATCTTGAACAAACATGAAAGATAAACCTTTTTCATTGTTTGTGTTTATGGATGACATAAAGTGTACATTAATCTATAGCAGAGCTATTCAACTTAATTGCTCTGGGGGCCACAGTTACTGCAGGCCAACAATACAGGGTGAGGCATTCTGTGAGTCTGTCACTTGTTTCTGCCCTGATCGGTCACCAGCCTCATCACAGCTGCAGATAATCAGGATCATCAGCTCCCAAGGGTTCATAAGGCCGTTCAGAGGACAGGATCAGCRCTGATGCATAGCTTGCTCTTGGGTAAAGCACCTCAGCCTTTTAGTGTATTTACTTATCTGAAGTTTGTTAACCCATGTTCTGTTTACTTACCCGTGTGCAGTGAAAATACCTTTTGGATTATCCTGGAACCAATCCTCAACTCCAGCCATTTAAGAGAACTTACCTGTGAGCCACTCACCTGTGCTGCTGCCTGTCTGCCTCAAACCAATCAGGAAACCTGTGACTCTGTTTTGGACTTGCCTGTTGAAGTCACCAATTGGACCCTCTCCTCAGAGCCAGTTCTTCCAGCTTCTCCTGTAAGAAAAAGAGTTATTAATCAACATTTCAACAAACAATTTGCTCTTCATTCTGAACTGGAACTCACCAAGTCTCCCCGTTCCCTTACATCCCTGAACCAGCACCTGTCACCTGTAAATAAAAATACACTTTTTATACTGAGTCTCTGAGTCTGTTTGTTACCAAGCTGCTCGCCTTTGGTTGTTTTGACAACCTGACATTATGCATAAGCCAGATGCAAGGCCAAAGAGCAGTTCTGGTGACCGACACTCTGAGGGTTATCAGGACCCTATGATATTAGAAAATCATAACATGATCCAACAATTGTGTTTGCTCCAACAAAACACACCATTATTGGATCAAGTATCTAATTGTGTTTTTGCCATAGACAACAAACTGGCTACATTAATTCCTTCTGCACCTGTTGACCCACCAGCTGCTGCCACCTCGCGGCCAACTACCCCCGTTACCGCCCGAGAACCRGATCTACGGCCCTCAGAACCTTTTGACGGTAATGTAGAAAAAGACTCCATGAAGAGTTACATTGAAGACTCCTTGTCCTCAGGAATCATCTGCTTGTCCACATTTCCTCTGGGAGCGGAGTTTTTCTTCGTTGAGAAGAAAGATAAATCTCTCAGACCTTGTATTGATTATCGTGGGCTCAATCAAATAACTATTAAGAATAAATATCCCCTGCTTGACTCTGTTCATGACCAGCTCTACTCCGCAACCATTTTTTCTAAGCTTGATCTGAGGAATGCATACCATCTTGTGAGGAGAAGAGAGGGGGATGAGTGGAAGATAGCTTTAAGACTCCACTTGGGCATTTTGAATATCTGGTGATGCCATTTGGGCTCACCAATGCCCCCACCGTCTTCCAAGCTCTCATAAATGACGTCCTCAGAGATTTCTTGTACAACTTTGTTTTCATCTGTTTAGATGATATCCTTATTTACTCAAAAGATCAAAAACAACACGAGTCTCATGTGCGAGCAGTTCTCCAGCGCCTCTATGAAAATCAACTTTTTGTAAAAGCGAAGAAATGTGATTTTCATGTGTTCTGTTTCCTTCCTGGGGTTCATCTTCGAGAAAGGACAGTTCCGTACCGACCCCGAAAAGGTTCGTGCCGTCACTGATTGGCCTGTTCCTGAAGACCGTAAACAGCTCCAACGCTTCCTGGGGTTTGCAAATTTGCATCAGCGTTTCATCAGAGATTCCAGCAAAGTTGCCGCCCCTTTGACCCAGCTTACCTCTACACTCAGAACCTTTAACTGGACCCCTGAGGCAGACAAGGCGTTCCGTGAGTTAAAGGCTCTGTTCTCTACTTCCCCCATTTTGTGTCATCCAGACCCAACAAAACAGTTTATTGTAGAGGTCGATGCTTCTGACCTAGGGGTTGGTGCTGTCTTGTCACAAAGATCAGAAAAAGGTAAGACTCACCCCTGTGCCTTCTTCTCTCGGCGTTTGTCTCCTCTTGAGCAGAATTACGATGTGGGGAACCGAGAACTGTTGGCTATTAAATTAGCATTAGAGGAATGGAGACACTGGCTAGAAGGTTCAGATCAACGTTTTGTAATATGGACTGATCACAAAAACCTCGCTTACCTGCAAAATGCTAAAAGACTCAAGCTGGAAACATACTCCCTGCGAACTGCCGACGTCGGCACGGGTTGTCGCAGTTTAATGACGAAAATCATGTCACCGGGCTTCGCAACGTCTTGTCGACAGCCCCTTTTGGCACAAGCCCTTGGCAGAACATTTTCACCCCCCTCCCTTGTCGACGGTAATGTGTGAT